CTCAATTCTGGCCCAATTGCTAGTCACACCCTCAAGCATTGCTAAATGCTACCCCACTTCTATTACTGAAAAAATAGAAAATGAGCGTACTTAAAAATTAGGTTAAATGGAGTCAAAGTCTCCAAGTAACCTACCCGAGAAACAATATACAATGGTCTATAAAATGAAATAAAGTGTCTCACAAATACAAAGGCAAAAATAAGCCTATACAAGAAAACTATGTACAAGTTTATATACAACATATGAAAAGGTCTTCAACATCATCCCATTCCTCTTGGTTCTTGGCCTTGGCATATTTCCATCATCTCTCCTCAAGCCCATCACCACGAATCATGCACCCACATGTGAGAAAGACATAAGCCCCTAAATTGAGCCACACTTGGCACCATGAAGGCTTGCTCGGTGCGATGATGACTTCTACACCTAACAGACTTTGAATTAGGCTAAAGCCACCTAAAAATTAGGAAATCACCAACATGCATTGCAACCATTCATACATATACTTCTCAACAAGGCATTTCCACTCTCAGAATCAACATGCAACATACAATTTGATCAACACATCAAATTTCACCTCAAACATGCTTGACAACCGCGAAAAACCACCATCTATCATTTCCAACTCCAACAGTCATAACAGCCACCCAAAAATATGACTTAAGCAACCAATCCAAGTGTGAAACAACACATAGAATTAGAAATTAACACGGATTAGTCTAGCTTCCCTTACCTCACCAATTTGAGAGGGAGAAGGAAGAATTGTAAGCTCTCACCAAGAGAACTCCACACCAAGGCAATTCCTCAACTCGAAAAACTTTGGATCATCACTCAATTGGTCAACAAAGATTATTTATACCTTCAGGGAGTCTAGAAAGAAGAAGAATAATTAGCACTCTAGAGCCTCTCAATTTTGAAGAACTAAACTTATGAGGTTCAATTCTTAACATAAATCTTATAAACTTTTTTCCTTAAGATCAAATTAGACCTTTATCTAGAAAAATCCTCTAAAACATCTTAGGACTCCTCAGAAATTTCTTAACTCTCAGAATCTCTCAACTACACTTCAAAGTAACTAACACATAATTACTGTTAAATAAATAATAATTAATGAAAACTTCCAATATATTACAACTTATGTGATTTTCTATAGTTTAATATCATAATTGAGATTTTATACAAACTTAAATATCCTTTTGATTTCTAGAATTTGGGTCTAATTTTTTTCCACCAAATTTAAAATGGAATATTTTTGTATTCTATTTCAAAATATATATATATATATATATATATATATATAAAATCGAGTGAACAGCTTAATGAAACCCTTAGTATTGACCCTTTCCCGGCAAATCCGACCAGTGGTTCGTTGTAAGGAATCAGCTCTTCCTCCGAAATGTCGAGTTGCTTGAATGTGTTCCAATATAGAATATCAGTCGAATTGCCTTGATCCACCAAAGTTTTATTCACGATAAAATTATGTCTCTACACTGATTACCATGGGGTCATCTTGGATTGGGTCTATGCCTTGAAAATCTTCATCTATGAATGTGATGGTAGGTAACCGCCAAATTGATCGCTTCTCAACAGCATTAACCGACCTAACAACTCGCAGATGTCTTTTCTGAGCCGAGGACGTTGATCCTCCTCTTGGGAAGCCTCCGAAAATTGTATTGATAACACACCTATGCGACGTTTAAGGCCCTTCCTTTCGATCTCTTGATCTGCTGCGTTCACGTTGATGTTTGTCTGAACGCTCGTGTCGGTCCCGTTGTTGAGACTGGTACGTGGGCCGATGCCAAGATGAGTTTGGCCGATCAATAAAATTTTGGAGTTGTCCTTGTTTGATAAGGTCTTCAATCCGATCCCTTAGGGCTGCGCATTCTTCAGTGGAATGTCCTCGATTGCGATGATACCTACAAGATTTGTTTGTATCAGCTCGAGGGGGAGTTGATGCTCTCTTGGGAACCACTAACACTTCCGATGCCAGAGCTTGTTCAAGTACTGCAGCTCAGCTTGCATTGAGGGGAGTATAATGAGAGTATTTCGGACCCCGTGTGGGTAGCTCTCGAAGAGTTAACTCCTTGCCTCGCCCTCTGAATGGCTGATCTGTTGGCTTTTCAGCCTTTCCTACTGGTTTGGCTCGGGCTTGATTGCGGTAATCGGCCAGTTCTTCTATTTGCATATATTTGTCAGCCCTTCTCCTCAAATCATCCATGTCAATGGGGGTTTTTTTTTACAAATACTGTTAATGAAAGGCCCTAGCTTCAGAGTTGTGGTAAGGTGATGAAGTGCCACTACTAGGTTGAGATTCCTTATTTCAAGGGTTGCCTTGTTGAACCGATCCATGAAGGCACGGAGTGACTCCTTCTTATCTTGTCGAATGCTTACCAATGATAATGAAGTTAATTGGTGTGGTCGACTAGTAGCGAACTAGATAGTGAACAGAGAGGACAAAATGCTAAAGGAGTCAATCGAATTGGGTGAAAGCCGAGTGAACCAGCTTAAAGCTCGTCCTTTCAGGGATGTCAGAAAAATCTGACATAAGGCAGCATCATCCGTGGTACTTAATGTCACCTGAGTAAGGAAGACATCAATATGTTCATCAGGGTCCGTAGTGTCGTCATACTTGTCAATTGGAAGGGATTTCCAATGGTCTAACAAAGGTGACTGCATCATAGATGAGGTAAAGGGATGTCGATGAACGCTGACCGGTTGAACGCTTGTCGATCGTCCAATAGTAGGGATTTTTCCTGGGGCAACGGCCGAAGCACGAGGCGCCGAAGTGTGAACATCCAAGGATTGAGACGATCCTTGAGTTTGTTCATGGGTCGACTGAGTGGGTTTCCACGATGGGTCTTGACTTTTTAGGGCGGCATTTTCAGCTTTCAATGCCGAAAGTTCTCTAGCATCTTTTTCTCTTTGTTGCCTCATGGCGGCCATCTCCTCCTTCTACTGACGAATTGTTTCCGAAATGTTGGCTTCATCCACCCCTTCCACATGCTCCTCTTCTCCAGCAGATCTGTGGTCTTCTTTGTTTGTCTTCCTTGTCTTAGCCATTGTTTTGATCTTGTCGACTTGCTCTATCAATCTCTCTATTCGAGCCCACGGTGGGCGCCAAATGTACCTGTCTAAAGGGCACACTAGTAATCTTCTCGTACTCTGAGGGCTGAACAAGAGCTCCGATCGAATATTTTGGTGAGAGGGAGGGTACCTGTAAAAGGCACTATGACGCTCAAGTCAGGACAAGCACAGATATCGATAGTAATTAATGAACAGTGACATTATCTCGTGACAAGAGCTATTTATACTGAAATTAATGGGCCTTGACTTCCCTAGGCCTTGCAACAGGATTACCGTATTAGGTAATACGTTCTTAATCGGCTTATCGGTGTGATTAACCCTTAATTATTGATTAGGGGTGATTCTTGAGTCCATGGTATACTGTGCTTGGGGCTTCGGCTTCTCGGTAGCCGAATGGGTGTCGGCTACTAAGTTCGGCTGTTCGGCAGCCAATTAGGTGTCGGCCATCCGGTGACCGAGTGCTCGTACCCGTACAACATCTTTTTATAATATCTCGACAATGATTAAAATAACATGTATTTTTTTTAGAAAAAAATTGCCCGGTCATGCAATTGCATCTAATAGATACTTATAGAGTTAAATTAGTTTTCAATGCATCCCCTCGTCATGACCCTTTCCCGGCAAATCCGACCAGTGGTTCGTTGTAAGGAATCAGCTCTTCCTCCGAAATGTCGAGTTGCTTGAATGTGTTCCAATATAGAATATCAGTCGAATTGCCATTTTATACGTTTTAAAGTAATAAAATTATATAAGTAATTTTTAAAGTATGAAAAAATATATTATATAATCTCTTAATATTAGTAAAATATATCAGTTTATAAGTGTGGAGATTAAATTGATAAATTTTTAATATTTTAAAAATTACTTACATAAATTTATTATTTTAAGGATTATTTAATTGAAAAAAAATTACTTGAACGAATAAATTAATGATTACTCATAGATTCTTTTCTATTTTCTATTATTACACTGTTATAATTATAATATAAGAGCTAATAAAATAGAAAAAGTTATTTCCCAAAGTAAAAGACCGATAGCAGGGGACATTGCCCAATTAAATTAGTACGGACAGAAACATGCGCCTCCTCGATCCGATCATGTCCAAATTAGAAATGAAAATAAATATCTTTTTCAGGATCACTGTTTGAAATGTACAGTATAGTTGAGAGTCAACAAAATTAACAATTAAGGGAAGAGAGAAGAGGTAGGAAGAAAAATAAAAGAAGTAAAGGACATATTCTATATATACTATACTATATATAGTACACATTTTCCTTTATAGGTAGAAAACTTTTTCATAGAGAAAAAATAAAAGAAAAATTAAACAATTTTGTACTGGAAGGATCCTGTCGGCCACGTGGGTCGGCCACGTGGACTGGCACGTCATGTCCTATCAGATATTGACGCAAGCCAGATGTCATTCCGGCTCGGCACAGGATCGAGATCCACATCTGCCTCATATCGGCTCGGCAAGATGCCGAACACAACGTCTCGACCATCCTGTATCGACCCGGCTGAAAGTCATTAGAGTAATTAGAACAGCGATCTCGATTAATAAGAGACGAAACATGATTAAGGTGTAACCCGCTGATTAACATCGTATTACCTAATTTGGTAAGTGTCAGAAAAAGCTCACTATGCTCAGGCCCATGTCAGGTATTATAAATAGGTCACATGTAACGAGGTATGTCACTATTCAATTATTACCCTAGGGATTCGTGCTTGTCCTGACTTGAGCGTCGGAGTGCCTTTTGCAAGTACCTCCCCCCTCTGAAGAATCCACCTGAAGCTCCCGTTCGACCCTCCTACACCCTAGAAGACTACGAGTGTACCTTCAAACAGGTACATTTTGGCGCCCACTGTGGGGCCGAACCGACAGCTTTTGAAGAAGTCAGACCAGGTACTATTTGGAAGAGATCATGGCAAAGACAAGGAGAAATCACACGGGAGACCACCGATCCGAAGATGAACACCAATCCGAAGCAGATACCGCCAAGACGATTGACGAGACTAACATGGCCGAGATGGTGCGACAACTAAAGGAGGAAATGGCCGCCATGAAACAACAACGAGAGAAAGACGCTCGTGAGATGGCCGCCTTGAGGGAAGAGAATGCTGCCCTGAAAAACCAAAAAAAAGATCCCACTTGGAAACCTTCCAACCCGACTCATACCCATGGTTCGTTCCACTCGCTCGGACATACATCTCTTCCCCACACTTCCACTGTCGCCCCGAGAAACCACGCTTCGGCTTCCCAAGTCACTGGCCGACCCGCATACGCTCCACCTACCGGAGCACACCGACACCCTTTCACCCCCAACATAATGCAATCCTCCCTTCTAGACCATTGGAAGTCCCTTCCGATAGATAAGTATGATGAGACCACTCACCCCGACGAACACGTCGATATTTTCCTCACCCAAGTCACACTCAGCACCACCGACGATGCCGCCCTATGTCGTATCTTCCCAACATCTCAGAAAGGAAGAGCATTGAGTTGGTTCACTCGTCTCCCGGCCAACTCAATAGACTCTTTTAACACCCTCGCATCCCAGTTCACCATCCAGTTTTCCACCAGCCGACCCCACCATTTGACCTCCCTCGCGCTGGTAAGCATAAGACAAGAAAAGAAGGAATCCCTTCGGGCTTTCATGAGTCGATTCAACAAAGCAGCTCTCGAGATTCGAGACCTCAATCCGGCCGTCGCCCTCCAACATTTGACTACAGCCTTGAAGTCGGGACCGTTTGCTAACAGTATCTGCAAGAAACCCCCGTCTGACATGGATGACTTGCGGCGCCGCGCCGATAAATATATGCAGATGGAAGAACTCGCGGAATTCCGCAATCAGGCCAGGGCGGAAGTATCGGCCAAGGTCGAGAAGCCGGCCAAAAGCTCCTACCGTAGCCGTCCCAAGGACCTCGTCTCGAGAGATAAGCCTATTCGAGGACCAAGGTACTCCCACTACACTCCTCTAAACACCACTCGATCAGTTGTACTAGACCAAGCACTCGTGTCAGAGGTCCTGGCAGTGCCGAAACGCGCTTCAACTCCCCCACGCGCGGACACTAGCAAGTCTTGCAAATACCATCGTAACCGGGGCCACTCAACTGAAGACTGCGCGGCTCTGAGGGACAAGATCGAGGACTTAATCAAACAAGGACATCTTTAGCATTTTGTTGATCGACCTTGTTCCCCCGCACTGTCGAGATCAAGCCGAACAAGACAGATCTGACAGACGTCCTTACAGGGAACGAAGTCGGTCGAGAGGCCGAAAGGAAGACGAGCCGACGACTCAGCCCCGAAGAGTCATCAACACCATTGCCGGCGGATTTGCCGGCGGAGGCGCTTCCTCATCGGCACAAAAGAGGCATCTGCGAGCTGTCCGAGCTGTACACACGGTGGAACGTACTCAACGCAGGATGCCAGCCATCACGTTCACCGAAGCAGACTTCAAAGGCATTGATCCAAACCAAGACGATCCAATGGTCATCAGTGTCAAAATTCACAACTGCATCGTTCAAAAAACGCTGGTCGACCAGGGCAGTTCGGCCGATATACTGTATTGGAACACATTCAAACAGCTCGGCATCCCGGAGGCCGAACTAATTCCGTATAATGAACCCCTGGTCAGATTTTCGGGCGAACGCGTACAAACGAGAGGGTACATCAAGTTATCCACCCGTTTCTCCTTCGATGGAGCCGAAGCTCGAGACATTCCGGTCAAGTACGTAGTTGTGCACGCCAACACGTCGTATAACATCCTTCTCGGCAGGCCTCCCCTCAACAGACGGGGTGCGATCGTGTCAACTCCGCACTTAGCCATGAAATTTCCTTCAGAATCAGGCCGAATCATCACAGTACATGCGGACCAGAAAGCAGCTAGGGAATGTTATTTCGCTAGTCTCCGGCTGCCTCGTCTTGAAACGACCGAGCCTCGTGGAGAGAAACGTGTGCACTCGGTAGCCCAAGACTCTGAAATGATAGTAGACTTCGACCCTCGAATGGAGCAGGACGAGAGGGTCGAGCCAATCGAGGATCGGCATCCAATTGTCATCGGGCTAACCGACCAACACGTGACCTACCTCGGTTCTAACCTGTCTCCGATGGAAAGGCATGAAATCGGACAAGTTGTTAGAAGAAACAAAGACTTATTCGCATGGCGGCCGGCTGACATGCCAGGTATTGACCCCAATTTCCTGTGTCATAAACTCTCTGTATGCCGAGAAGCCAAACCGGTTGCCCAACAAAAAAGAAAGATGGGGGAAGAGAGAAAGAAGGCAGTTGAAGCGGAGGTATCCAAGTTGTTAGAAGTGGGTTTCATTCGGGAGATACAGTACACAACATGGCTGGCCAACGTCGTCATGGTTAAAAAAGCAAACGGGAAGTGGCGAATGTGTACTAATTACACAGACTTAAACAAAGCATGTCCGAAGGATGCATATCCATTGCCAAACATAGACCGGTTGGTTGATGGAACAGTTGGCCACAAGTTTCTAACCTTTCTCGACGCATACTCGGGTTATATTCAAATCCGTATGCATACTCGAGACGAAGACAAAATGGCGTTCGTCATGGAATCCTCCAATTATTGCTACCAAGTAATGCCTTTCGGCTTAAAGAATGCCGGAGCCACATACCAACAGCTCATGGACAAGATCTTCGGTGGTCAGATTGGGAAGAATATGGAAGTTTATGTCGACGTCATGGTGGTCAAATCGGCCAGCTTACCTTCTCATGTCACCGACCTGGCTGAAGTCTTCCACGCGCTCCGGAAGCACCAAATGAGACTCGACCCGGACAAATGTGTGTTCGGTGTCTCGGGCGGCAAGTTCTTGGGCTTCATGCTTTCAAGCCGGGGCATTGAGGCTAACCCCGACAAATGCCAAGCTATTATTGACATGAGGAGCCCGTCAAACTTAAAAGAGGTCCAAAAGCTGGCTGGCCGACTAACAGCGTTGTCTCGTTTCCTGCCATGTATGGCCGAAACTTCCAAATGATCTCAAACCTATCTCAAAAGAAAGTTAAGAGAATCAGCTACAACTCCTACGAAGACATAAGATTCTAAAAAGATCATCTTCTTAGCTAAAAATTTTAAAACCCGCAGGAGATATATTCAGCGTTTGCAGCTAGACCTTTGATCACCGAAGTAGCTCTAACTGGAGTTCTAGACCTCCGTTTTACCTGATTCCAGTTCCATTGGAAAGATAACGTCCAAGGATACAACTTTTGTGAAGACCATAAAATCTAAATCTGTCAATATGGTACTCATACTGGCACAACAAAACTGCCGCGAAAATATCCTCTACACCAAACAGCAATAGTATATCAATATATCTAAGCCCACAAAAATACCTCAACCCTTCCTAACTCACACCTCAACTTCATATTCAAGTTTTCCACTACAATCCTAAACCAAAACAACTCACATATTCAGTACAAAAGGCTTAGAAAATAAAATTCACATGCTACCTAAACTATAAAAAGTCAACATGCAACCATCAAACTCAAGAAATCATCAACACTTCAATCTTTCCTTAAGAATACCAAAACTCCAATTCTCAACATACATCATCCTTGGATTCAATCGCTACAACTATAGCTTTCAAAAAATTCCACCAATCGTAAACTCTTAATACACTAAAAAAAATTCAATGTCTTACCCAAATCTAAGGCCTCAATAGTTCCTACAATATTAGCACAATATCTCGTCTACCACTACTCGCACATATGCTTGCAACACAAGCGATATCACTCAACCACTACTTCTTACGTAAGAAAGAAGTATCAAACAAATAAGCAATCATAAGAATGAAGAAGAGCGGTCATAATGGTATTAGCTAACATTATCATGACTATCATTCCTCTAATTACAAAATAACAATATCAAACTCAACAATATCAACACAAGAAGAACATCATCATCATCAAAGCAAAACATCATCATAGTACACAACAAACAAGACACAGTCAGAGTACACAACAGAGTCGTGATAAGCACATAACACAGAGGGTCGATTGGATCGACCTGCTCTGATACCACTTTATGTGACACCCTCTACCTCAACATATATATATATATATATATATACATAATAAAAAGAAATATCTTATTGGATAAAAAAATATTTAAAATTGAAACGACAATTCCAATAATCATGTGAGTAGAGAATTCACATTCATGTCCTTAATTCAAATAGCAAATAAAATTACAAAGAATAAAAATTGAATTTTCTAAAATATATACTTTAATAAATCATAAACAATGTCGTATTCTAATTCTATCTATGTCCCGAATGTCACATGTCCTATCAGAGCAAAATCCCACATAGAAGCCTAAGCTCCATCATCCACATCCTCAACCTCATGCTGCTAATGGTCTCCTGTATATCAAACAAGAGAAACAACACAAAAGAAGGGAGTGAGAAACATCTCACTCTGGCTCACGGTGTAGGAACTCACACCGGATAGCCAAACACAAACAATACAGTTACCTCATAGATCAATCAACAACAATGGCTTATCCAATCATCTAAGACATACAAATAGTAATTTATCATCATTTAATAATAAGAATGCACATGCATGGACACAGACTACATATTATCATGCATGTGGCGCTAGTAAAACATCACATGGCATATTGTCGCTAGCAATACAAGAAGAGGGGTCTAGGAGTACATGCCGGGTCACACCCTCTATGCACTCTCACTAGAAGGATATACTACAAGAGTCTCGTCGGGATAGCTAAGTCGTGCAAGATACATCCCATGCACATAATGGGCGAGACTGGACTTCCAAATCGAGCTATCCCCAAGGACTAATCCCC